GGTGGGGGGAAAGGGGAAACAGAGACACAGAAAGAAAAAGGAATGTGTCTGAGGTCACTCAGGAAGTCAGTGGCAGATCTGGGAATAAAAGCCAAGTCTTCTGAACAGCAGTGCGATGCCCTATCTGTAATATTTTTCTCTATTAGGATAATAACTCAGTGTGCTTCAAGTGCTGCTCTTTCTATTTCTTAAAATGAATATAGCAAGAAATATAGCCACGTTACAGCTGAACACAATGTTCCAGCTGAACCCCCAAACCATGGGAAAATACATGGGTTTCATCAAAATCTCAAATTCATGCTCACTTCATCAAAAGTCTAGCAAAACTTACCATGCTTTTGTACAAGCCTGGGCCCAGTTTTAATCAAAGTTGGGTGATTTATGTGTTTGCTTTGAAATTATGTGGGTTTTGCTTTAACATTCAATTAAGCCACAAAGCCAAGGGAAATGTGGCAACTCTGACTGAGTGTCATAGTGTTCCTCTAAAACAGGAAAGAGATAAATCCAAGCAGGCCTACACCAAAGAAACAGCTTGCATGGACCCTGGCAGAGCAAAACCACCCAGTTACATGGGGCTATAACTCATGCAGTCCCCTCTAGGCATTGCCATCATCACTGTCACAACCATCTGTAAGAGAAACAATGGCAAAGACTTGTGAGCTATGACAAAGAACTAAGTTTGCCATATTCATTGACATATTCCCCTTTCTTGGGGGAAAGACAGATCTTTACAATTAAGCCATTAGCTTTAAAACTCTGCTACTAACATGAACAGATGTTATGCATATGCATAAGCAGCCCCATTGGCTTTATGTTCAGGAAGAAGACTAAAAAGAAAACAGAATTTGGTCATAAATTTTATCATTACTGCAGGAGAGTCATCATGACCTTCCAGCTAGTCCTCAGGGGTAGCAGTAGACCTGGTTGATTCAATAAGCAGCCTGTTCCAAGAAAAAAGGGGATTTAATCAGAAATCAATGTGCTTTTTTTGTCCTTACCGATTCCATACCCTTGTTCACACTTGTACTCCACAAAATTCAGCTCTGGGGGTGGCGGACAATTCCCTTGCAGATTCTCACACAGTTTGAACTCCTCTGTCCATAAGCCTTCTTTGGTGCACAGGATGGGAACCTAAAATATGCAAGAGACCTGATTCCATATTACTGTTACATTCAGTCAGTGCACAGGGCTCTCTGAATTTGCAGGGTTTTTTTTACACAAATAACATTACCCATGTCCATTGTCTAGGCTACATGAATAATGGTAAAAAAGAATCTACCTCCTGTTTGCATCAATTTCAGAAAATGAAGTTTAGAATTACCTTTTTCCCACTGAAATCAAAGGCAACATTCCCAATGGACTTCAAGGAAAGCATGTAGCCCTAAGACAAGCTGAAGTGGACCATCCAATCTTCTGACAGTAAAGCAAATTTGTTTAATGTGTTTTAACGAGATGGTTGCAATAGCCCTTGTGCATGATGGCCCAGTGGTAACCTGACAATAAGCAACCCCACTCCCAGGCAAGCCCATTCTCAGAAAGTATGTGCAGTTATGACCTTACTCAAACAGGGCTTTGCCCAGCTGTGCTAAAACATTAGCAGATGCTCCCTGAGCACACACAAAAGGGAATCTCCAGCTGCTTCTAGCCTTTTAGCTACTTATTATCTATTTAAAGACAAACAGAGCTGTTGACAGTGCCAATTACAGTACAACTTAATCTTAACAAACCCATGGGACCAGGAGTAAAGTTCATTAAGAGAGTGTGTTCATTCTTACAGGGTCAGTCAATTTGCCAGTAGCATAACTAAAAGGGAGGGCAGCTAGGGCAGCAGCCCTAGATACCTACTTAAAGAAGGAGCAGGGTGCCAAATAGCAGCTGCTGCATCTACTGACTGACTTCCAAGTCACTGCTGGCAGCATGGCAGCCACTACTACCCTGAGCACTGTGACTTGAGGGAGCACAACTACCACGTTCTGCCTCTGCAAACTGCTGCATCATCATCATGAGACAATCACTTCCTGCCATTGCGAATGCTGAAAGATGGAGTTTGTTATAATGAGGTTGTATCATAGTTTCTTACAGAAATATTACAGGGGGAATAACTGCTGTGGTTAGTCTAGTCCTTTAAGGGAGGTGAGCTGAGCCTCATACACAACTCATAGCTGCCTCCTAAGTGATGGGTTTGATCTCTTTTATTAGTATCTGCACCATCACAGCACCATCTACAACATATGCAAAGCTTCCTTTAATTGGGAGAAAGAAAGCCCAATTTAGGTATTTACAACTCAGAACGAGAATGTTCTGAAATGTAGATGACAGCAGCAGACAGGATAGAGTCTGCACTGTGCTTTGCAAAGCAATACCAGTATTGTTGTGTCACAGGGCTGGTGGCTGGTCCACTGAGGCAGCTGGTTCAGACCCCATATATCTGCATCCCAGCTGACAGGTTTGCAGCCAGGAATCAGGTGACAGCCTGCAGGTGACCAGGCCTTCCAATGAATGGTCAGCAAACAGCTTTGTACCTCTGTTTATTCAGGAACAGTTCAGCAGGCAAGGCTTTCCTTTACAAGAACATCATCAGAAGGCATGGCAAACAAGTATTCATGGAAAATTTTCAATTACATTTCTCTTACACCTATTTTAAACCCCTAATCCAGGGGTGGGCAAAAAGGCAGATCCATGGGGACCAGCCCCAGCAGCACTGGCAGGGTGCATGACTGGCTGGGGAGGGGCTCTGCAGCCGGGGCTGGGATCTTGCAGTGGTGAGCTGGGGCAGAGCCATGATCCACTGCCTGCATGCTCTGGGCAGGGGCATCTGGGCAGCAGATCACAGCTCTGCCCCAGTTTCAGACCTTGTTGTCACACCCGCAAGATCCCAGTCCCAGAGTGGCTCCCTGCCCAGCTGCGTGCCCTGCCAGTGCTGCTGGGTCTGGTCTCCATGGAAGCCCTGGCCCTGCGCTGTCATGGCGCTGCTGCTTAGCACCGTACCTAGACTCCTGGTGGTCCTGGGTGAATTTTTACTATTGGGCCTGCTTCGCCAGAGATAATGATAATAATAATTGGACAAGGAAAAAAAATTACCATTCTTGGCCTCTCTTTTTGTCCAGGCCCTGGGCGGCCGCCCAGTTTGCCCGTGCCTGTGTCTGGCCCTGCTGCCACTGCTGGGGTCTCCATGGAGCCTGGCCACAGCAATGCAGGCAGGGGTGCTGGGAAATGGAGTCTGCTGCAGGCCTCATCCAGCCCGCAGGCTAGACTTTGCCCATCCCGCCCTTAACCCATAGTAGGAAGTCTGTGGCAGAGTTAGGGACTGACCCCAGTTCTCTCAAATGCAAGGCTAATTCCTCAATCACTAGACCAATCTGCATATAAACTTCAAGTGATACCTTCTTCACATAGGAAACTATCTGCCAAATCATTTTGAGGACTGAACAGATCTTTAGAAGACTACAAAAAGTTTACAGGTAATTTGTGAACAGAATAGAGACTAGAGACTAAAGTTCATTTGCTAAAAATAGTGTCGAAGTTGAGCTTGTTGAATTATTTTACACTGAACTATTTAAAGCAGCTTTCAGATCATTGTGCCAAGGCCAGATGAGGTGTGGGGCTCAGTTTGGGTTGGAACATTTTCACTAGAACAGAGAAAGAGACAAGCTGTGAGTCAAAATGCCCCCCATCATTGTCCTTGACCCAGTAATACTTGCTGTGCACACACACACACACACACACACACACACACACACACACACACACACACACACACACACACACACACACACACACACACAATATTTCAGTGTTACTAAACTAAAATGGACTTCAACAGCCCTGCCAGGAGAAGAGCAGTTTTCTTCCTTAGCTTGTGTGCCAAACAGCATGATAAATCAAAAAAGCAGTATTAACGTTCAGATCTGGTACAGATCTGTATTTTATCCATATTCCCCTTCTACAGAAAAAGGATCTGGGAATGGCCATGGTGGGCCAGTAAAAAAAGTGTTGAGAGAGACTTGGTTTCAAACGCAGGATCCTGAGTCAGTCCAGGCTGTCTTCAATTCTCAGGAGTTCAGACTGAACAAACAAGTCTAGTTCACAGTTCAGCAAAACACTTACCGTGCTTAATTTTATGCACATACCTAAATCCCTTTCAAACTAAAGTGCTCTATTGATCAGGGCCCTTTTTTAGGTTCCTCATCATTTTAGCTCCACTCACCAGCTAGCTCCATCCACTTTAGTTTTGACACAAGAATTGTCCCATTGAAGTCAGAGGTATTAAATATGTATTTTTAAGCATGTGGCTCAGTGTTTACAAGGCGGGGGTCCCAAGTCCTACTAAGGGGATAGCAAAAGAATGCTCTTCCAACTTGAAAAGCTTCAGTGAAAATTTCTCTGCCTGACTCCCAAGTAAATCCCACCCAAGCTGATGAATGCAACCAGGATACTGTGAACTTGTGTTTCAGCAAATAAATTCAGAGCTGCATGGGGGTATCCTTTGCAGTAAGTCTCATTAGGCAAATACACTGCCTTCAGGCCATGCCATGGCAATACCAGGGTGCCCTGGAGTTGGCTTGTTTTGCCTCTGTGATACTTATTAAAGAAGTCACTCTTACCCTTTTATTCTGGGGGCTGCAGTTGAGCACACATTGGCTGTCCAGCTCAAAACCATTGGTACAGTCATACATCCCCTCAAAAACAGGAGGGGGTGGTTCACACAGCACAGGAACACAGCTGCCTTCCTCCCAGACTCCACTTTCCAGGCACTGAATCTTCAGGAGCTTCCTGGGAAACATGCACACAAGATAGTTACTGAATTGTGCACGCGAGAGACATCCCTGAGCAACAAAATGAAAGGCCTCAGTTATTAAGGGCAATTACTTCTGTGGCTTCAGCTTAAGACTTCCCTAAAGGAAGATCAAATTAAGATCTTGGAAGGAAACTGAATTCAGACCCACAACACATGCTGATTATCAGGCAGCACAAGGCTAAAAAGGAGCAGAAGGAGGAAATGGAGGGGGGAGGAGTGACAACAGTAACACCCTCTAGAAATACAAATGTGGGGCAATTTTAGGCAGCCCTTTTCATAGGCATGCAAATGATCATTAAAAATGCATAGCATAGCCTTCAGAGCATCTTTCCCTGAGGACAGAATCAAAGAATAAAGACATCAAAAGCCTCATTTCAGCAATGCCTTTATATCCCATGGACCTGAATGAGGCATGAGCACATGCTTAAAGTTAAGCTTAATGAATTCTCTGAATCTGCATCTTATGTATTTAAACCACACCCGAACAACTCAATTAAGCATGTATTGAAATCTGTTCTCATTCAACCACATTTAACCAACTGCTTAGTGTTCAGAATCTGCTCAGGTCTCATTGATTTCTCATGTCAGCCTTTGGCTGACTCAGGGCCCAAAACCTGTAGCTCTGCACCTTTGCTCTTTCTAGCTGTAGCCCCTTTTGCACATTTCATAGTGCTCTGTCCAGTCTAGGCTTACCTGTCCCAAGTAGTGTTGCTTTCTCTCTGGGGAGATAATACCTGTTTAATCTATCTCACTAACCTTCCACAGCTGAAATTTTCCTTCCCTTAACTTCATCCCCTTCATGGGAACACAGGACTAGAAGGAGCCTCATCAATTGTTGATTCCAGCTCCATGATTAGTCCTTGTCATGCCACCCTAAACAATTCCTCCACCTATCCACTCTTCAAACTCTTCACTCCATTCAAAGCTGTCAATCCCTCTCTGGTAGAGGAACTGTCATGTCGGAACAGATTAACATTGTCTTGTGTGCTGCTAAGACAAGAAAACCTTGCAAAGAAGTAATGAAAGAGTTAAAAAAATACAAAAGAAAGGCTCACTTATTCCAGAATCTGATCCCTGGCAATGATCTATATGACAAAGCCATCACACATGGGGGACAACTGAGAGGTACTTTCTGAGGTTGGAGACACTTCTTGGAGACTCCAGCTTCTGATCAACACCTACATCTTCATGAATGAAGATCAATAGTTCTTGTGATTTTAACCTATCTAGTATGAATCTCCAGGAACCGTCTTTCTTTAATTCCCTTCTCCTAGCTCTACTATCAACAGGCAGAAACCTAGGAAGCCACTGCTAAACATTTAAAGGGCACAATAGGCAGATACACCCAAATCCTGCCCACCTCTGAATATGTTCAGAGTCTGGTAAGCAAAGAAACAACTCTGCCTTCATTGTTGAAATAAGGCTAGGAGGCAAAGGGTTGGATTAACTTCTCATAACCCTGCTCTGGTAAAGGAAATTGCCCCAACAGCAGAGCAAGGTCTGGTCTACACTACAAAGCTGTACAAGCCAACAGTGTGCCGGCATACTACTACAAACATGGCTATTTTGGAGGCACATTCGTGTTGCCTTGCCCTGGGCAGCACACTAAATCTTTATGGCATTAGGCTATATCAGTAAGAAAAGTTTTCCAGTGATCAATGATGGTTTAACACTGGCAGAAAATCAAGGAAAGACAAGGGCCAGTCTGGCACCCTCTGCATGCTTCATGCAAAATGTTTCATGTGGAGTCAACTAACCACTACAACTCAGCCCTATGCTTTTATCATAGGACTTCCAGGAGGCCCCAGTGGTTGGTGGGTGGGTGGAGTGGGAACAAAAGTGGATTGTGGTGTAAATTAATGCTACATGATTACAGCCTTAGACATGTTACATTTCTAGCACTATATATACAAGTGTGCCTATGATCATGTGCCTGTGGAGCCACCAAAATGGAGGACTCACCACTAAAATGCTCCTGTTTCAAACAGGAACTTTTCTGTAGCACTACACTTGGTAGCATCACATGTAACATCTGAACACTTCCACGTAGCACGACAGAATCTCTGGTCCTCCAGCCTCCCATAGTGCTCCAAGGGCAGCGGCATAACAAGCTGAGCAGGCACCCAAGGCAAGCTTTGCGGGAGAGCGGGGGTGGGCACAGGGTTCTGAGCGGGGGACACAGGTTCCAAGAGTGGGAAGGGCACAGGTCTGAGAGCAAGGATGGGGGCACCAGCCTTACCCAGCTGGGAACTTCTAACCAGTCCACATGTGCTCTGCCTGATTCAGCTCTGCTGCTCTTAAACTAAAGCAACAGCAACCAGGGTCTCTTTTGGAGTTCCCTGCATAGGAATGCTGCTGGGCCATGGTCTCTACAGGAGTAGGGGTATTTCCAGTGCCAACTTGGTGCCCAGGACAGGTGCCTATCACCTGCCCCTCCTTATATTATTGTCCAAAGGAGTGGGAAAGAGAGCATCTGGCTTCTGACAGCCCACCAGAAAGCACAGCTGCCACCCAGCTAGGACATGGATCTGCAGCTCTCTTTTCCACAGCAAAAGATGTTGCTGCTCCCATTGCAGCAGAGACAGAAAGGGCTGCTTGTGCCACAGGGTCAGCAAGGACAGCTGCTACCCCTCTGGAAGAGGCAGCAGAGAGGGCTGCTGTTGCTGCCAGGGCCCCAGGACAAGTGGCGTCCCAGCAGCCTGCCACTTGCTGATGGGACACTGGAGGGCAGCAGCAGCTCTCTCACTAGCCTCCAGGGAGAGTGGGGAGGCGTCAGGCAGCTGGTGCTGTCCTGATCAAGGGAATTGCAGCTTGCTGCATTCTAGGAGAGGCTCACAGCCTGCCCAGTTCCCTTTTCCCATCAGAGGAGAGAGCAGGCTGTCAGTGATTGGGATCACTGATAAGATCTCTTACATGTAGGATGGAGCAAAGGAACAGCCCCCTGTTGCCCCCTGGTTGGACAGCATGTCTTTGCAGGGATACTGGAGCACTCCAGCCAGGGTGCTACCTATGTATGTATACCTCCACTGGTGTTCTAATTATTTTAGCTCTACAAAGTGCTGGAGCACTTATAGGGCTACAAATGGACATGTCTCAGACCGAAGCTAAGAAGGGATCACTTTATTTAAGGGAAACGGTTAGCATGAATCTCTTAAATTCAAGATTAAAACTGAAACCATTGCCTTTCTGTGATTTATGCTCCTTTGTTTTCTTTTTTGCATTTCACTCAGCTGGGACAGTTGCTAGGTGGTTACACTTCCTAGATTCCATTATATCTGAGAAGTTCATGGAGTTTCCCATTCAACAATGTGTTGTGCAAGACACTGTACAAGCACACAGAGGGATCTCTCCTGCCCTGGACAACTTACAAACCAGAGAGACAAGGCAAAGGCGGGGAGGTAGAGCAAGGTAGAAGTGACCTGCACAAGGTCACCCAGAAAGTCAGTGGCATCATCACATTTTAAAACAGACCAGTGTTTTATTCAGAAGACCACCCTGCTTCTGACCAGCTTATGTACCATACTACAAGTATCTGAGCTACAAACAATACAAGGGAAGTAAATATATCAACAGCAGACCTGAATCAACAGAATGGATCTGAAACCACACAAACTTTGGGGAAGCCTAGATTTGGATGTGAACTGTTGTGGCTTAAATGCATCACTGATTTAATTGTTTTTGTTTCAGACTGAAGTTGTATTCATTACCCTGCTGAGACATCCTACTTAACATTAGCTTTTGCTTGGTTTGTTTTGATTCTCTATTTGCACAAAACCAAAATCTTGGGGGTCAACTGCCTGGCAACAACCTTCAGAAGTTCAGAGTTTTAAAGCTGGAACTTTGTGATAAAGGGTAACAATCTAGTCTGCACTGAAAAACTTTTCTCAACTACAGCTCTTTGCTCCAGTTTGGCTGCTTCACTGTGGTTGCACTCAAAGCATGGTGGAATTTACTGGTGTAAATCAAGGCAAGGCAAGTCCCTCTCTTACACCAGCCCAGCACACTTGCACTGGGACTTTGCCCTGGTGTCACTATATAGATGGAGTTGAACTGGTATAAAAAATCCCAGTCATGCAGCAATATGCTTTAAACAAGAAACATCCTATTAAGATGTAGACAGTCATATGCATGCTCTTACCAAAAAGTCCCTTGGGAATAAATGATCTAGCCACTGTATGTCACTGTTGCTCTTCAGAAATGAATGGGAGGCACTTATCTGGAAGCAATGCAACTCCCAGAGAAGAGAGCTGTAGCAGGGAAGGGGCCCCGAGCTTCTGGCCTATCTAAGGAATGCTCAGTTTGCACAGGTGCATAGTGTGGTTTGCAAGATCCTTAGCTTTCACACAGCTTTTTACTTTGATGTGGTGCTGGAATTAACACGTCTAGGCCTCCGGCTCCCTGCCATCCTACCCAAGCCACGCAAGGGAAAATCTCACTTTGTCAGAAGTAACTAGGGAAGGGAGTGCAGCTTGCTGCCCACACTGCAAATGCTGCAGCTGTCTCTTTTTTGGGTCTGCCTTGTATTCTGCCCTGGCTTACTGAACCAGTCTTATCACAGAGCAAGCTGACCTCCCTCAGTGGAATATTCCAGGAGTCTGAGAGCATTTGGCACTGGAGGTGCTCCATTGCCAGCCCCTCCTTCCTTGCCCCACCACACACGCTGCATATCCTCTGGACCCTTAACAGTAACTCATGCCTCCAGGTGCCCACCCACAGCCAATTCCCCACTCCTGGCTACTTGTCCTTACCTGACCCTGAGGCAGAAAGTGGCAGCTGTGCTGCTGACACAAGCATGCTAAGGAGCCAGTTTACAGAGAGGCACTGGGAGGGGAATGTCGAGGTGAGGGGAGCTGGCCCTTTTAAAAACCTGTAGTTGCTCTGAACAGTGGAATACAGACACACTGATTTCTTCTGATGAGGGAGAGCAACATTTATTTAGGATTAGCACGGGAGCCAGAAGCCACAGTAAAACATA